GGAGATTCCTTTTGGGCATAGAAGATACAGAGTGTTTTTTGTAATTAACAATGAATACTGTTTACACATTTTTAGACTGTTAAGAGAGTCACTTGTAATAAATACAAAAATAATTTATATATAATGAGTTTGTTAAATACCAATTAAGCTTAGAAGCTGCTGGAACTTAATTTTTTTTTGTAATCAATAGTTCATTTGGTTTTCCCTTGTATATATTGCATTTCAGTGACAAACCGTGGGATCCTGGAGTTGCCCAGAACAATTTGATTTTTTGCATCTGTGAAGGTTTTCAACCCTCCTGTGGTTTAGTTGGCACATCTCGCATACAAAAAAAATCTAAGTATTGATCTAAGCTATTAAAGTGCACCATAGTTGCATTCTTTTATAGCAGCTTCTCTGTACCAGTTCAACCTAATAAATTCTTAAGTGTATTTCATTCATACAACTTGGCCGACTGCGTTGCTCAGAGCAATCATTAACTCATATAGGCATGTAATGAGGAAAATCTCAGAACAGTACACAGTAAGGAATGCATATATGGGGCTTCTCCCAGGAGAACAACCAGTAATTGAAAGCACTAAACTCCCAGTTATTATTCCCTCCCATTTGCAAGCTCCTCACGGGTCCTATATGGCACCAAGATATTGTCACTAATTTCACTTTAGACTACTATTGAGATAATGCCCTGCCATGTGTGTTGCTTCTATGCATGGGTGCCAAATGCTCTCTGCCACGCTATCAAGAAGTAGAATTACCGAACTAAATTTCTGTAATTCACTGAGGTTATCATACTGAACATTCTCTTTCTTTTTGTCCCTTTATGGAGGGCTCTGCAGTGACTAAGGGATTTAGTCATGGTGTTATATTTGAAGTCTTTATAATGCAAACCAGGGAAGGTCAGGATGCTTTGTTTTTCTTAGCAAGATTATTCATTCATTAAAAATTAAAATGCATTGCTCACTTCAGGTGGTGGGCTGGATGCTATTTCCCACTTGTCCAGGTCAGCAGCAGAGAACAAAGAGAGTCCTGCTGGGCAGCCCTTCTTCCACTGCCACAAGCTCCTCATGCTTAATTTGTTACCATCAACGTTATTGAGAACTACAGGTCTCAATCTGCGGAGACAATGAAGATACTTAGATTTGTGCTAGAGAAGGCAAGGTTTAAATTTGATTCTCCTATTATTTAATAAACATTTGCCTGACAGTAACTGTATACTCAGGATAATGCTCGGTCTTGAAGTTGTGAACATGAATAAAACACAATAACTTTCCCTGAGAAGGTAATACTGTAATATGGGACAGACATATGAATGAAAATCATGATATTGTAAGCAAAGTGCTGTGAGAAGACTGAGGAAAAATATCCCCATTTAATGCATGTGACAAGATCATGAAACGACAATGGAACAACATATTTTAAATGCTGGGAATGAGCATTAGGAAAATGGAAATAAAATTATAAAACCATTTGTAAAAACATAAATGTTTAAAAAAAACTTAAAGTAAGATATAAAAGAACTATAACTGAAAACATGTGAATAAATATAAAATAATATCAATGTGTTATGGTGTTTATAAAATATGTATAAGTAAAATGTATGACATAATATCAAAGGACTATAGGGGAAATTGAAATATACTATTGTAAATTTTTAAAAGTATATGTGAAGTGGAATAATATTGTTTATTGCTAGATTACTAAAAATTAAAAATGCAGATGATATACTCTAGAACAACCAGTAGAAAGAAGAAAAAAGAGAAGTATAACTAAGGTGCTATTATATAAAATAAAATAGAAAACATAAAGCTACACAGTTCTTAAAAAAAAGGCTGGGTAGGAGAATAAATTGATTTAAAAAAAGAGTATTTTGCTGCCTATGGAGTCTCGTAGGAGTTTTATGGTTTCCTGTCTTACATTTAAGTCCTTTAGCCATTTTGAGTTTGTTTTTGCATAGGTGTAAGTGGGTAATCTAGTTTCATTTTTTTTTTTGCGTGTATCAGACCAAATTTCCCAGCATGTTTATTAAAGAGACTGTTTTGACTCCATTGTATTGCTCTTGCCTCCTTTGTCAAATACTAATAGAGCATAATGGCTTGGGTCAATTTCTGGGTTCTCTGTTCAGTTCCATTGATCTACATTTCTGTTCTTAATGCCAGTACCAGGCAGTTTTGAGAACAGTGACTTTGTAATATAGCTTGATATCTGGTATTGTGATGGAATATTATGCCGCTATAAAAAAGAAGGAACTTTTACCATTTGCAACAGCATAGATGGAACTGGAGAGCATTATCCTAAGAGAAAAATGATAGTTGGAGAAAGATAAATATCACATAATCTCACTCATACATGGGATATAATGATCAACATAATTTGACGAGCAAGAATAGATCCAGAGACAAATGGTAGTGTGGGGGTAAGAGAACAACCAAAGGACTTGTATGCATGCATATTAGCAAAACCAATGGAAACAGACACTGGGATGGTGGGAGCTTGTCCTGGGTAGGAATGGCCTGGGGGGAGGGGTGTCAATTGGGGAAAAAGGAGAAATATGTAAAACTTTAGACAATAAAAATAGAATATAAATATAAAATACAGAACGAATAGTACAATGGTAGATTTAAACTCAATAACATTCATGATTACCTTAAATGTAAACACATACATGCATCTGAGGTCATCAGCAAACATAATATCATCTCATTATTTTTATTCAACTTTGTACTGAAATTAGGCAAGCAAAAGCAGACTGAAAAAGTAATTAGAAAAGAAAAGTAAAAACTGTCTTCTCTTGCAGACAGTGCTCACCAAAAATTCACTAGATGTAACACATGGATTTATTGTAAAATATAAGGTCATTTACAAAAATGAGAATTTGGAAAATGAAAATGAAAATTATGCCATTTGTAATAGCATAAAAATATAAATACTAAATTTCTCAGGTCCTAATTCTCACAGGGGGACTCAAAGAAGGTCAAGTAACAGCTGCACATGTAGTTAGGTTATAGAAGAGGAACTCCATCCTAAGGGAATCCAAACCTTTTATAGTGGATAGTAAGCATGCCTTATGTTTTGCCCCAGAGGGACACCTTATATATGTTATACTGTTAAGGAATCAAACTTGGCCTTTTGCTCCGGGGGGAGACACTGTCTCTCTCTTCCAAGGCTGTTTGTTGTATAACCATCCTTAAGAAGATAGTCTGGAGTAAAGGCATCCAGTGCTTCTGTTTGCAACACGTGCAGAAATGTGAGAGGCCCACAGAGGATTATTCCCCAACAGGGATGTGCTTTCTCTCTGCCCCTACCTTGTATTCATGACCACTTGTCTCAGCAGGACTTAATGCACACTTTCTTTTTTCTGAGATACTTTAATATCATTAGATTTAAGAGACTATATTAACAAAACATAATATAATCAGGTTTCCATATTTATATGTGTGTCTCTGGGCTCTCAAGTCTATTAATTGATAGTCTATCTCTGCATCAACCCTACATAACTTTAATTATTAGAGCTTTAAAATACAAACCTCAGTCTGTGGTAGAGCTTGCCCCCACAGACAAATGCCCACCTTGTTTTTCTGCTTGCCCCCACCTCCCCACAGACAAATGCCCACCTTGTTTTTCTTCAGGAACATCTCACTGTTTCGTGTCCTTTCATTCTTCTTATTTAAAAATCTGCACAAGTTCCAATGTGAAACATTTTTTTTTCTTGAAATTCAGACCTTCCTTCTGGGATTGTTTAGCTGGTTCACAAGTGCGTTTAAAACTTCCTATGGGAAAGAAACGTTTTGCAGGGGTCGCCAGTGGGGTTTCCCCCCATAGGTAGATTCGAAGCTTTGTTTCCTGTACTCTGCATTGCGGTCCTTTAAGAACTAAAGTTCTAGTCTTCTGACATCAGCAGATGGCCTGGGCAAGTGGCAGCTTTAACTCATTGCCTTCCCTGCGTGGATCTTTTCACGTGGTTTTCAGCACCTCAGAATTTTTCTTGTCTTTTTGGGCAGTTCAGTTATGCACTTTAAAGGATATTTTGTATATTCCATCTAACTTCTTAAGAAGTTTTGCCTTGAGAGTGGTTTCTAGGATATCTACTCATTCATATTGCCAGAAATAAGTCTTTTGTCAATGTGGTCTTAAAATTCTTTATCTCACAGAATTGTGTCATGCACACAAACATTCAACAAAGTGTGTTTAATTGAACTGATAAGATTTCATTAGGGTTTCTATGATGCTGCCTCATCATTCCCAAGTAACTTAGCATTTATACCATTAGATAAATTTTGTTTTCTCCTTAAAACTTTACAGAATTATAAAATATTTTAAACATACAGAAAATAATATAATTGAAATATTTGCATTCACCATTAAGATTAAACCATGTTGTATAGTGCCATATTTTCTTTAGTCTATGATTATATGGTAATTTAACAGAGATGTATATTATCATTTTGTATATTTTTTAAAGTTTATATTAACAATATAGTGGTTTTCATACTCTTCTGAAACTTGCTTTTCCCCTCAGCATCATGTTGAAAATTTTATCTATGTTGATTTCTTAAACTCTAATTCAATTATTCCACTTCCTGAATATAATTTTATTACAAATTACATTTTATTGAATAGTCCCTGTTTTATAGAATAAACATCCTTATATATAGCCTCTTGAAATGAATGTTTGAGAAATGTTTAAAATTAGATGCTTAGAACTGAAATTGTTGTATGATAGGATGTACTTTAATTTGTTATATGTACTCAATTTCTTATATCTATTCTTTATAATTGTGATGATGTTGATCATTATAGAAGGGTCATTTTTATCTTCTTTTTTAGTTAATTATAATTTGTGAAAAGTACTTATGAGTACTTACTGAATAAGAATCATGCTGAAATGTGTTGTGCATGACCCCTTGTGTATAGTTCAAATAATATTAAAGTTTGTACAGTTAAGTAATGAATAAGTAGGAGATTTGAAAAGTCATCCCGCTCCTTTTTCTCTGCAGGTATTTATGAGCCTCCATTTATTGTACTACTGCAGTGAACCAACCTTGGATGTGAAAATTGCCTTTTGTCAGGTGTGTGTTTCTTAAGGTAAAACAAGGTACAGTATACTCCCTTGTATTTCCATTTTGCCATTCCATCTTGCACATGTTCCACATCAAATCTAGTATTTATGTATTATAATATTAAAAGTAGCTTAGGAAGTAGAAGAGGATACTTAGATGTTTTTTACTTTCCTAGTGCATTTAAGTCAGTATAGGAATGAAGATATTTCTTTTTAATGATAATAAATATAGTATTTGATCACATATAAAGTGATTTCTTATTAGGTTTCACTTATACTTAACCTTTTTAAAACTTCTTTTCAAATTCTTGAAATGAGGCTGAAGCCTCTGTTATTATTTCTCATCCTAAGGACTGATGAGCCCTGAGTAGCTCCAATACTGTACTTATGTAATAACCATACTTTGCTGATACCCAGTCTAACCAGTAGTTAGTAATAGCATCCAAGCAATAATAATGACAAATAAGTAATGAATTTAATAAATATACTTAATCTGTAATGAGTAGTAAGAAGGTGACAACAATGATTGGTAGTGTGATGGAGCAGGTAGGAATCTTCTTCTCATATTTATATCAACTCTAGTCTTAAGAAAGAGGCTCCTTGAGGCACCCATGCTTGTGACAGATATGCTCAAGGTAGTCCTAACCTAAGCCTGTTGTCAGTGTATAACCAACAGTGCTCCCCTTTACTTTCAGGAATTGTTCTTTGGAAAATACTGTGAATTTTATAATTCCATTTATACCCCAAGCAGAGTGCTTCGCAGCAGTTTGTAATCATTTTTTATTGTATAGATTCTCATTTAACTGTGCTATATTAGGGAATGAAAAACATCCATTGAAGCAAAGTGTAAAAAAATCCTTCTGCAGCTCCTATTATTTTAATACAATCTTTTCTGATTCTATTAATATGTGCTTCTTAGAGAAAATATACAGAAGTATAAAGGGAAAGAAAGCATTGGTATATTTATCCTCCCTGGAAAAGTAGAATGTGTCACCTGCTGTGAATAGGACTTGCTGATTCCTCTCATCTCCCCAAACTCCAAATGCGGTGACTGAAGCCTCAAGGCCTTTGATAACTTCTCTACAAGAACTCTGGAGCTGGAGAGCCTTGGCTAGAAAGTGTATCTATCACTTCTTAGCTAGTTGCTTGTAACCTTGGGCAAATTAGTTAGCCCCTCTGTGCTTCAGTTTTCTTATTGTGAAAAGAGGAAAATAATACTGCCTATCTTCTATTGCTATGAGAATTAAATCAGTCAGTACAGAGCACTGAGAACAGTGCTGGAGTCTGTGTTTGTCAAATAGACAACTCCATTTTAAATAAGCGTGCATTTGCTCTTCTGGTGCTCCCATCGAGTCCCAGGGTTTTCACTATTAGCAGTATCATGAATACTCCAGCAGAGGTATTTCCAGCCCAAACCTTTCTCTGAAACTAGACTTGTAGGTTCAACTCTCTGTTCTCCATCTCCTCTTAGATGTCTAATAGGCATATCAAATTACACATATTTCAAACCAAGCCCTTGATCTTTCCTACAAAATGCCTTTGTTCATTATTTCGGTAAATGCTAAATCCATCTTCCCAGGTGATTAGAACCAAATCTTTGGAATCATCTTTTGGGCAACACTTCACATCCAATCTGTCAGCACATTCTGTTGGCTCTACATTCAAAGCACTTCTAGGATCCCATTACTTCTTACCGTTCTCTCCATTACCCCTCTGGCCCAAACTACCATCACCTCTTGCCTTGCAAGAGCTTCCAACTTAGATCACCCCCAAATGTTTACTCTGAAAACATCACAAAGAGTGACATTTGAAAAATATAAGTGAGATCATGTCATGCCTTGGCTAAAAACAAGACAAAACAAAACAAAACAAAACAAAAATCTTTCAATGTTTTCCCATTTCATTTGTGGTTAAAAAAACCCCCCCAAATTCTTATAATAAATACCCAAGCCTTTACCACCCAGCCACTAAAAACCCCTCCCTGAAGTGTTCTTCCTTTATTATTCACTTGGCCCACTTTTTTACAACTCTAGGGCTTTGTTAAAATGCCATTTTTAAGGGGATGTTCCTGACTCTCCTAATTAAAATAGCCTCTTCTTATCTCACACCGCCTCCTCAACTTTCTTTGTCTTTCTTTTTTCCCACCACAACACTTCTTGGTATCTGATACTAACTATGTGACAGGTATGCTTTTTCTCTCTCTCCACTAGAGTACATTTCTTACTCCGGCAGGATTTTTTCCAGTGGTGTGTTGGAACCAGCTCACACAGGTTCACAAGTATTGATTGTACACATTTCTTCCCACCTCTAAGTTCAATGGTGAGAGGTTGGTAGATTAAAATCTGTCACAAAAAGAGTATTGCAAAATGTAAATAAGCAATTGCTACAAATAAGTCCTCTTGCCGCCTCCAACACCCCTGAAATGTACATTTACCAGCACATTGTTGGAATTTTGTCTCATTTGCACACTGCTGCCCTGTAGGACTAACAATAATAAGTGGCTTTTACCAAATATGTACCTCATGAATGAATACATGATTTATGTTTATGTAATCGGTTGCAACTGTGATAGTTCTCTGGTGGAAATGAATGAATTTCTGGGTCCTACCTCTTCAAGCTTTATGACTGTGATCCTAGCCATTTACTATGGACATTAACACTTAAAAAATAATCAACAAATAGAAAAACTAAGTTCATATTTTACATAGTTCAAGATTAAAATTGAATTTAGCCCTAGCTGGTTTGGCTCAGTGAATATAGATAGCATCAGCATGTGTACTGAGGATCCTGGGTTTGATTATGGTCAAGGGCAGGTAATTCGGTTGCAGGCTCCTCCCTGGCCCGGGGCCTTGGTTGGGGCCAGTGCAGGAGGCGACAGATAGATGTGTTTTCCTCACACTGATATTTCTCTCTGTCTTTCCCTCTCTTCCACTCCCTCTAAAGCAAAAATCAATGGAAAAATATCCTTGGGGGAAGATTAAAGAAACAACAACCCCAAAATAAAAACAAAACAAAACAACAAAAAAACCACTGATCTTAAAAATTATTTTAAAAAAATGTAAAGTCAGCAGCTAATTTTTTAGTCCCTAAACTCTTTGTATAAGTTGAATTTATTTTCAAATTAGCTCCCAATATTTGAGTAAAGATACAGAATGTAGCTCTAACAAGAGCTCTTTTAAAGCAAAGAAATAAAGAGAACTGAAGTGTGACCTTTCCAATGACTCTGAATTTTTTGCTTTTTAGGAGCTTTCAGTAGCTAGAAAATATGATGCATAGTCTATAACTTCCCAAAATTTAAAAATATTATAGCAAGCAGAAACTTTCTATTGAGACTCCATACTTCATTTACTTTGTATGTATAATTTTTATTTGTTAATAACATTTATTTTTTTCTCTCTCCTGTAGCACTGTTTTCAGAGATATAATATATTGGCATTTACTTTCAAAATGTGTTCTTTGGAAGCTTCGGTTTCATAAGACATCTCATGGATTCTTGTGCTGTGGTGTTTCATGTAATCACTAGCAAGGTTAGGTTGCTCCCAATTTCTTGCCCTAGAGACTATACAAAGACCTAAAGTAATTTGTCAACCATTTATGATCAAGTATATCCATAGTTCAGGCTTTTTAAAATATATTATATTTCAAATTTTCACTGTTATCAATAAGAAATCACAGAAAATAAACTTGTCTACATAGTTATTTATCAAAAGAAAATATGTATATTGTCTGTAATAGTATTAGCCTTCTTTCTTTTTAAAACATATATTTTATTGATTTTTTATAGAGAGGAAGGAAAAGGATTAGACAAAAACATTGATGAGAGAGAAACATTGATCAGCTGCCTCCTGCACACCTCCTTCTCGGGATGTGCCTGCAACCAAAGTACATGCCCTTGATGGAAATCAAACCTGGGACCTTTCAGTCTGCAGGCCTATGCTCTATCCCCTGAGCCAAACCAGTTAGGGCCTTATTTCTTAATTGAATTATTTGAAGAAAATGGGATTAAGTTTTTAAACTGCTCTGATTCATTTTGTTGTTGTTTTTATAATCTCATCAAGCAACTTTTGCAAGCAAGTGGCTTCATGTTGTATTTTGGGGAGAAATCTGTCTTTGAAGAGTTAGACAATAAAAGAACAATCTTGAGTTTGCACTGGTGTGAATCCTTTATAAAAATATAGACCTACAAGGAGTTGAAACTGCAAAAACTCTTGATCCTCTTGAGAAATAGGTAAGCCTTCTTTTCTCAGTTGAACAAAAACGTATGAAGCTGTTAAATTTCATATGGATTAAAAAGTTTTGGGGAAAGTGCTATTTTTGGACCTCTGCTGCAGTGAACAGATGAGTCAGGGTTTTAACCAGGAATATAGACCCAGAGAGATAGCCCGTGTTGGAAGCCGCAGGCATGCCCACTGGTGCCTACGGAATTTATGAGATTCTAATGGGCATTATCATTAATTGTACAGGTTTGTGTTCTTCTCACTCAAAGCTGACCACCTCAAGAAAGGACTCACATCCTCATCATTGACTTCCCAGCCCAGAAATCCGTTTTATTCAGTAAATGTTCAATAATTGCTTTTTGAATAAAAAGGTAAATACGCCTTAATAGAAAACACCACATCTGGAATAGAAAATTGTTTGCTTGCTTTTCAAAATTAAGTCACTTTCTCAATATCTTAACATCTTATAAGTGTATTAGCAATTGATTCCATTGCATTTTGGTTATTTTGGTCATTACAAATCAGTGTTTCCCTAACATTTACTTAAAAGTTATTAAATAGAAATGTTATTAACTTATTGTCCTTTCTAAATGTTTGCTGATGCTTGAGTTGGCTATCAGTTATTTAAAACGATTTCTTGATTTCTGAAAGTCTACGCAGACACAGAGGGTTCATTTTAATAAGTTTAAATAGCACTGGAACTAAGAGAACTGAGCTCAGTGAGCTTTTTGGTTATGACATAGAAACTCTTTATGCCTTCTTACATTTTCTAGCAAATAGATATCTATTCATT